TTCTATGGTTCTATGATTCTATGATTCTTTGCAGTGTTTTTCCAAAGTTGTGAGAAATCATTATAGAGCCAAAATAAAGCAAGAACAGCTGAAAACTGTAATTTATGCAGCATTTTCATCTCCCAGCATATTCAATGGGAGCAAAGGAAATTTGGGTATCTCAGAAAATTCAAATTCCTAATGAAGAACAATATTTTGTCCTATTTAATTTCTCCCGAGAAAGCATGGACACAACTCAATGCGTCCTTGCTTCATATTAGTTTCGTCTTTCACACCAATTCATCCAACGGCAACTACGCATCTTTCATAACCCTCTGACCTGTAGCACTTCTGACCCAGGATGAAGCCATAGCCTCCATGTAGTAAATAGCAATACTCCTCCAGTGTGTAACATGCAGCATCCTGACCCAGAGACCATTTTCCTCAACCCACACCCTGCAGGTAGTTGAGCATGACACAACTGACACATGTCAGATGGGACAGAGAAGTCTGAAACCAAAGGGGAATTTCATTTGTCTCCAGTTGTTTTTTAGGGACTAGGGGAATCTGTGTGGACCACAACTGGAAAACTTCTCATCCTCCCAGGAGCCAGGCGTTCCAGCGATGCTGTCTTGCAGAGCTCCAAGACATAATGTTTTCCAAACAACATGGTCTGAGATGCCCTCATAATGCTCCTGGTGTTGGTGGAGAGAGCTGAGCTGAGAACTGGGGTGCAGAGCCCTCCCAGAGTCAGAGCCAGCAGCTCTCCCCACTGAGCAAAGCTTCCTGGGACTGGGCAGTATCCAAGCATGAAACTCAGGAGTCACTTGCCAGGGCAGGGATTTAACTTGGGCGCTTTGAAAATTTATCAAACACCTGAAATGCCGCAGACAACACTCCAGGTTGAAAGAATCAGCACTGCAGGTGTGCTGGCAAACACCAAGATAGCTCTAGATAAGGGATTAGACTGCTACCGCAGTGTAAAGTACATCGTGTTTTTGAAACCAAGGTAATGAGAAAAGGTACAAGAAACACAAAGCAATTACAGCCACAAATATTTCAGTCACATGCTAGGATATGGAAGAAAATTTTCTTGAACCCTTCCTTCTCTGACTTCAAGTGCTGCATAGTTTTTTTCCTTATTTTAAAAGAGAGGTAAAATAGAAATAATTCCAATCTCAGATTTGCTTTTTCTATCGTGTTAAAAATTATTTTAAGTTTGTGAAAGTCGTTCCAAATACTTTTTGCCAGTAGAAATTTTCAATGGATTTTTTTTTTTCTTCACAGAACCAACTAGTTATCTTAAAGATGTTAATTGGGGGAGATCTGAATAAAATTAAGAATGGTAATAAATTTCACATTCTAGGTTTCATCTGAAAAGGCCTCATCTAAATTGCTAAAAATTAAAAGAAGTTGTGTGCATCTTAGCATATGATGAAAAGATTACATTTTGCATGGAATTTCCTGTAAAGTTTTGCCTATCAGCTCTGAAAACAAAAGAAAAGGAATACTCAGAAAATTAAGCAACAGTGATGCTATGACACATGTGGGCACCTGCAGGTGCCTTTTTGGAAAGCACTTTCCAGATCAGAGCCCAAACTATTCTCTTTCCTGTCTTTGGAGTCACTAGCTCTGTTAGGAAGAAAAGGGTAAAATCAATAGCAGTTATTTAGTTCTATGGTGACATGTCTTTGTGACTGCTGTGTTCAGAACAGCATCTTTCTCAGAGAGGCAGGGTCCATATTCAGCTTAACCCTGTGGGAGCTACAGCAATGCTCTTTTCCACATATTTATGATTTGCTCACATCCTCATAGCTGAGTTTCCCCTTCTCCCTCAGAAACAAGGATTCAGAAATTATCAGAGCCTCTTGTAAAGCAACAGTAATCTGTTGCTCATTACCATGTCCGCTCCCTGGAAGTTCCCAAGGCCACGCTGGATGAGCAACCTGGTCTAGTGCGGGGGGAGGGTTCAGAACTGGCTGATCTTTATGGTCGCTTCCAATCCAAACTGTTCTATGATTCTATGATGGGGATGACACATCCTGCTGCACAGTTGGTGTGGCTGCTGCTGATTCCTACTTGCCTTCGATTAAATTCTTACAAGAAGATACTTAGTAAAAATTTCTCAAGCCAGATGAATTTTTCTCCCTTTGAAATGTTACCAATAGCTCAAAACTCAGCCAAACTCCCCGAATTGGTTACAGACTGGGCTTCCGGTGCTGTGTGGGGCTTCATGTTAAAGCTCAGGGAAAGCAACATCCTGCTAAAAATTCTAGTAAATGAGGACCTCAAATAGCCCAGTAAATTGAAATGAATGGCATAGCTAGCCAGTCACTAAGCAAGGGAATTGATTCAGATGTATAAGAACCCCACCACATTAGTTTTAAGGCTGCCTGGGGTGTAGGTGTGGGAAGGGGTGTGCAGGGCATGGTGGTGGGGGAGGGCAGAGCTGCCCTTAGCAGCACACCCACACGGTGGTGTGGCCACATCTGAGCTCACATACCAGCTTGTTCAACCTCACCCAGAGGGCACTGCTCTCAAAGGCAAAATCAGTTAAAGTTTTTAGAGCTCTGCCTTTGGCATCGCAGCCCTTTTGCAGTCCCTGGCGAAGCAGCTCCCACCCACATCCCTGAGAACCTGCAGATGCAGGGCTGTGTGGTTTTACACTGCGCACACAACTGTTTCCACATTCACAGAGCAAGACCAACAGAAAGTTTTACTAGTTTTCATTTTTCTTTTTGCTGTGGTAAGGAAAAGGATCGTCATCATCAAAGAGGACGAGGGCCATTAAAAACTCAATATTCCATTACAGTGATTGGTTTATGGCCTCATTTAGCAGCAGCTTTCTTTATCAGGTGTGCAGCTTCATTGCCTGTCCTATAGCCCTTGTACTTTAAGAGTTTGATATCTGCAGGACACTGTGCTCCTGTTTGCACAATAGCTGGCATCTGGCACAGGAACTGCTCTGGAGGGAACATTACAGAACACCTGATTCTCCAATCTGTTAGCCTGTTTTGGCAGTTTCTCTTCACAAATTTCTGTGAAGAGAGAACAAAACAACCTGTGGGCTGGGGATCAGACCTTCTTGCACTGCTGTTAGTTTTTGCTGAAAAACTAGGGTCTTTTACAAAGAAATACTGCATGAAAAATAGCTATATACTATTTTCTGTTAATTGCCTGGCTTTATCCAAACCCAGCTAAGATGTTGTGATATCCTTTATGTGATGAAACATTTGCTGTCTCACACCTTGAAGACAGCAAGAGCAAAACAGGAACCCTTGGAAAACACCCTGCTGCCTCCTCCATAACATGGCAAAATCTCACACATTTGAAAACTGTAAACATGTTTCAACTCACATTTATTCACATTACTGCTTCACATTGATGTGGTGCAAGACACTGCTCATTTCATAAGGGGCCACTGACATGCCCCCGTAAACTCTTGATATCTTTTATACCATGAATTAATACTGTACTCAGAACATTAATAAATACTTGAAAAGTCTGTAAATGACCTACACTGAAGTCCTTTGTAAAAGTGTTCACCTTATTTAAATTGATTTATTTTGGTGTCAAAATATATTATACCATGAACTACTGGATGTAAGTGTTCTGACCGCCTGATGTCTTTGTCACTGCTGTGAGTCTGCCCGAGTTCAGGATTGTGCAGAAAGTGATGAGGAACCTGCAGACACCAACTAGATTTGATGATATGCTCATTTTGTTCTCATTAAAACCAGTGGGTCTTTAAACAACACAGTGCTTCCCAGCAAGATCCTGTGGGCTGTTTCTCAAGGATCTGCTGCTTTGGTGATGTTTCAGCCCAGCATGAAATGTTATATGCATCAAGCTTCTCTGAGATTTCTGAGCACATCAAACCTCCTTGCACACATGTGTGCATCCATGTGCTACTCACCATCCCCACAGAGCAAAACCAAGCAGCCACACTACGTATGTAATGTGGCAGTCCCTGTCTATGCCCTTTAGACATAGCCTTCATGGCAGACTTGGTTGCCGTTGATAAGGCTGAAGGTGGCCAGAGAATGATTGGTGCTCTTGAGGGAGGTCATTCTCGTGGTGCTCCTGGCCATGCTCTGGGACCGGATGAGGAGGCGAGCCCTGCAGCAGAACAGCTCGTTGTTGAACTGTTTCCGAAAGCTCTTGCTGAGCAAGTAGAGAGCAAATGGGTTGACACAAGAGTTCGTGAATGCCAGGATCCGAGCGCAGATGCTGGAAATGAAATGCAGCACTGAGGTGTCCACCTCTGAGTAGTGGTAAGACCGGTACAAATAGATGATGTGAGTAGGAAGCCAGCAGAAGGCAAAGAGGCACACAAAGACCAGTACTGTCCTAGCCAGGCGCTTACGGGATTCAATCTGGAACAAGAAAGAGAAATGCAGATCAGCAGCTATTCCTAGCTCAGGCCAGTAGCTAACTATTTTTCCCAGTGTGGCAGCTTTGGGGCCAGTGCATGGCAGGTGACACGGTCAGAGCAGGGCAACCTGGACCACAGGTGAACACACAGAGTCAAGAACCCTCCCTCTTTCTCATCAATTCCCTTCGCCTGAAAACTGGTAATTCTGAATATGTATTACATAAGGAAGTAGCCTTTCCTGTTCAGCTTGTTACATTGTAAAATCCCAGCTCAGGCAACAGAAGTGCAGACACCTGCATTTAGTTATCTATCTATAATATATATAATCATATGTAATTTATACATGTTAACTTATTATTACTATTATTATTATTAATTATATAGTAGGGATCTGGGATATTTCACAGAGGCCGGAATTTCTGCCTTGGGGCCACATGGTGTATGTACACAAAAGTGCTGCCAGCAGCTCATGGCCCTTAGAGACCAAGCACAGCACTTAGAGGCCAAATGAGTCAGAGAAACCAAGAAAGGAAAGTCTGAACTTGAAGAAAGAAGGAGGCAGCAGGACCCTTCAGCTGGAAGAGCTGTGGCTGCGAGGAGAAGAGAGATACAGGTGGTGAGTAGGTAGATGCCCACCTCTTAACATAATTTGAGGTTTGTCAGGGAAAGCTTCTTCTGCAATGTCAGCTAGCACACAGTGTAACATTCAAGCCACACTTTTGTTTTACTTATATATGCAGGCTGGGAGTCAACACAACGGCATTGCTCAGCTGAGGGGAGCTGAGGTAAACTGTATTTTGCCCAACAGTGCTGCACACAAAGATAACAATACCATGACCGCACAGTCAGATGTTTGCAGACATGTGAATTGCTGACTTTTCAGGACTTCATAGTGTTCTCTCTGGAAATTCCAGCACCTCTTCCCAGGCACTCCTATCGAATTTTTTGACACCCACAACCCACACATGAGTCTGACCTGAATGGCCTGAAACTTCTTTCCCTGGCCTCGCTGCCCTTGCTCTTGCCCTGGTGTTCCATGGTGCCTGGACACACTCCTGAGACTCTTCCCCATCCTCACTCCCCTTCTGAGCCATACAGATAAATCGGAAACTAAGCAGCTCACACTGGCTGATTTTTTCTCAGGACAGCTCCAAGAAATGAGTAGGCAGGAGAGACCTGACAAGCCCATTTTGACTTTATTTTGTAACCCTCTAATGGCACCAACTTCAAATCAGCCATTGAGCTTAGGAAGGACTGACATGTACCAGATGATAATGTCTCCAGAGAGCGAACTGAAAATTAAATCCTTTGAGAAAGGGCTGTCCTTGGCTAAACCATATATTCTTTTTAAATGTATCTTTAATTTGATATAGGGCTATTGAGGCCACATCTGCACTATAAAGAAAGGAAGCAACGCAATAAAGAAATCGATACCAGTTATCTCAGATGGAGACCTATAGCTCCTGAGCGCACTGCAGAACAGGAATGATGGACTGACGGTGCTAGACTGCAGCCTGGCCTTTTGCTTTCTTTAGAGCTCTCTCCCCAAAACCAAAGGGGGAAAGGGCTCTTACTACTCACTTTATCGCCACTAATCAAAACAGTCATCGAATCAGTAGAGAAACGGCCTGCAAGGGAAAAAGATTTACGTCCATTCAGAAGGGGAAAAAGGATTGCACATCATTTAATGGGCAGAAACCGCAGCTTTCCAGCCTTGCTGTTTCACTTTAGCTCCTGATGGCTGCGTGAGGTGATCGGGTTAGGTCAGCCTGAGGTGTAGATGTCAGCTGGGTGCAATTATATGGACATGTGTTCAGCTGAAGAATGGCTTGTGTCAGTTTAGCTTAGCTTGAAGCACACCTCAGTAGAAAGGAAGAGGTAAGGTAAATAAGGTAAATCTGTTAAGGGGAGTAAGATGTTTAGAAACACGTTACCCTGCTGTTGCTTTCTTACTGAGACAATCTAAGGCTCAGATTCATTCAAATTTAAGTACTACCCAGTTGCTCATGCAGGATTTGGATTTTCCCCTGGAGATTACTCTTTTTCTCTCCAGTTGCTTACAAAAAGAGCAGTAAAGAGGAAACTGTCTCCAGTTGAAAGGCTGAAGTTAAGTTGGCCGAATCCTGGCTAAATCCCCTCACTTGCTTCAGGACTCATACGTTTTCAGGCACACATTTCCAAACAGAGCACAAAACTCGCTTGAAATACAAAGGCCAGTCCAACTCTAAGCTTTGCGTTGGGTAGTTCGGGAAGTTTTTTTAAAAACACTAACAGAAGTGGCTCTCATTTTAAGGGTATAAAGGGAAGATTGAAAGACTGTATTATTCTGGAGAAAGTGGTCTACTTACATAAATCAGGGGCCGTCTTAAGGTGAAACCTGAGCTATTGGACCAGCAAAAGATTGACAAGTCTGACTTTCTAGAGGGCAAATAACAGGTAGACAGGTTATTCTGTCCAACACCACTCCTCTCTGGAGACAATAGAAAAAGAAGCATTTGTAGAAGGAGAATTATAATGACCAAAGAGTTTAAGGGAAGAAGTCAGGACTTTCCTTTTCTCTTGAGACTTCAGACTGCAAAGATCACACCATCCACAAGACAAAAAACTTTAGTGCATCTGTGAGCACCCCACGCCATCCTGCTCTGTCCTCCTTCCTGGGGACCCTGTGCTCAGCACTGTCCTTCTCCTGTCTCCACTGCCACAGTCCCTTTCCAGCCTGTACTGATTTCTCAGCACCAACAGACGACAGGCTGAGCCGTGGTGAGCACAGAAGGCACCGTAGCTCTCACAGAGGAGCTGTGTGTCTCCCACCCTGACCGACCTGCACTCCTGGCCCTGGGGTGCCTTTGCAGGAGGGGGCTTCCACCACCTCCACTCCTCCATTGCTGTGTCCTGTTTGATTTTCAGTCCAGAGGACAAAGCCAGCATTTCCCTCTGTGTGAGTAGGGACTGCTTTGAGTAGCACGGTTTTATCCAAGATTCTCCCTGACAGAGCAACTTTGAGAAGTTTTGATTTTCTGCTGCATCACTCCTCAGCATCAATCTCTGAACACTGTCCCCAGCTCTGCCTCTTTCCTTGTATCCTTGTCAATACCTTCCCAGGCCTTGGCATGGGCGTCCTGCTGTGTTTGCCATGGTAACCACCCTGCCAAAGTCTCTGAACTTAGAGACAGTAGAAGATGCTTTAACTATTTAACACTGTGTCATAGCTTGTGTCAACCATTTCAGTTCTTTATCCTGCCTTATCTATTAAAATTAGCACAACAGATGCAGTCTGCTCCACTGTAATTTTCCCTATATGCACATTCTGTACTCCCATTTACATGGGGAATGTGGTTTTTTTAAGAAAGTCAAGTCTCTACCTGTTTCCTCACATGGATGTTTCCTTCCACAGGGAGGTTGTAAGCGCTCCGGATCAAATTCTTAGCAATGAAATAATAATATACTGAAATGACAGAAAGGGGAATGATATAAAAGATGAGAAAAGATGCCATTGAGTGAATTTTGGGATGCAGCCCATCCGAATGTGGGTAAGGAGCACAGCTGATGAAGGTTTTATTAGTCCCTTTGTCATGGAAAGGGTGCAGATCTGAAAACACTGCTTCAGGAATGGCAAGCAGCATGGATACAATCCAGATTATAGCAGCTCTCACACAAATCTTCATCAGTGCATGGGATGCTTGTATCTCCATTGGCCTTACTATAGCTTTATACCTGAAAAGTAAGAAAGAAAGAAACAGTTTATTGACCTCAACACTCAGGAATTGTATTATTGCTTACCTGATCCATTCAGAACAAAAAAACCCAAGCAAAATCCTGCTTTACACAGGACTATGATTTTTTTTCCTGATGTTTTCACTGTCTGGTAAGTTTCAATGTTTTCAGTAAATTTCAGAAGATTTCTCATTTTAAACCAGAGCCATCTGTCATGGGGTCATTTAGTTTCACTTGTATTGATTCTCTTTTCATTCAATTTGTAATTGGCCCAACAAAGCACTGTGCTGCCGGACTTTAATATGTATGTGTCCAAATAGCATAAAAACAGGAAGTGCAATCATAGACTTCTCTTCAAAAGCATACATCCATTTCATGTATTACAGATAATAGTACTGAAGGAAGCTGGATGGAGGTTTTGCCACATTTACTTTTGAGCTGTGAGTACACTGGCATCCTACAAGACAAATCTTCTATTTTCTCAAGCTACAGAGAGCATGTTGCCCATTTTAACGGCTGTTTGGTGGTGTAGTTGGCAATTAACACTCGTCCATAACTCAATACATCCAGGCTAAGTAGCCAGAGCTTCTAACTGACTTTCTGGAAGAAAAAAAAATATTTTTGCTTGCTATGCTAGATATTTGGGATTTTTTTTTTTTATTTGCAATTTTGTCTTTCACAATTTCGGCCTTTTGGAAAATCTTACTTTAGAATCCAAGAAAATGGAAGAAGCAAACTTATTTGAACCTGATGTGTGTAATGAGAAGAACAGAAAACAGAAGAGCTCCATAGCTGCTGGAGCCCTGCTCTGGAAGAAGCATACACTCCAAGCAAATCATGATTTACATATGCACTCAAGGAACATGGTAGAAATAAAAAATATAATCTGGAAGGAATACCTACCGGTTTCATAAACTATTATTTAGCATCATTATCATAACAATTCCAATCTGTCAGATGTTTTTTTTCCAAGATCTGCCTCACACTGCCCATGGCCCATTTGTTTCCTTGGTCACTGTCATCTCCCTGGGGATTGATGAGCGGCTGAGCCCTAGGCTGTCCCAGGACACTTTTGGCATGGCAGGGTACTTCCCCATTTGGCTGCTCCTGAGTCCGTTTCTAAGCTCCTACTGGGATCTCAGCTCTTTCAGCCAGATGAATTGGGCACAGGGGCTGCAGCAAGCCTAATGCCCTGCCCAAGACCAGTAGCACACAGAGGGGGCCCTCAATCTGGCACCCCAAAACAAGGACACTTCATGTAGGCGATCGGTTCCCCACATGCTGCAGCTTGCATTATCCTAAAGCCCAGCATTTCAGAGAGCAGTCTGTAAGACCTGCACTGTTTTAACTGGATAATTGCCTTATTTTCAGGATAAGCACACATTCAACTTCTAGTTATAAGCAATATCCTGTTCAGCATGCCTATCCATTCCCTCTATGTATTTATGTGTACACCTGTGTGCGTGTATTTTATATGCATATAGAATGGCCTAGGCTGGAAAGGACCTTAGAGATCATTTTAATCCAGCCTCCCTGTCGCCAGGGACGCCACCTCTCGACTAGATCAGGCAACACGTGGGACCAAATGGGAATCGAACCTTGGCGTTGTCGGCGCCACACTCAACTGACTGAGCTAAGCGGCCCCCCATATATGCATGTATATATGTGCATGTATATATATGTGTGTATATATATATGCCCCTCTTATATGCATGTATTTTATACTTATACATGTATATCTAAATAGATACATACTTAAATTTACATTTATTTATATTTATTTTTATAAAGACTGTATCTGGACATCTCATAATTTGCAGATGTTTCTTCATACAATCTCACAGATGATTTTTAATTTAATGGACTACAACCACCATGCTCAATAGTCTTCTCTTTAACTATTTATTCCCCAAGCTCTCCAGCTCCTCTTTGTTCCAGCTATACAGCTGCAGCAGCCAAACAAAGTATTTTCCAGGCTTACTTAGGACCTCTTTAACCTGCATTCTGAAGCTGGCAATTAAGTGGTGTAATACACAGAGCACAACCTTCCAGTGCAAGATCTTCATCTTAGGTGAAGAAAATCACAGCAATTAAACAAATATGATGTTAAGACCATTATAGCAACAAAATGGAAGAGTGAGGTGAAATAGCTGAAATAGAACAATTTATAGCCTGATTCACCTATTACAGATTATTGATGGAAACACTTCAGTAAAGTGGAACATCTTCAGTGAAGATTCACATTCAGTGAAGATGGAACATCTTCAGTAAAACTTAAGGAAGATAAATGCAAAAGGAAATTAATTACCTATCAAGATATTCATAAATTTAGTTAATTCAAAGGTATTTCAACAGGTACTTATTATATGCTTATCAACATGGCATGTTAGCATAATTATTTCAGAGATTTTCTTACATAATATCGCCAGCTGAGAGAACGTGTTCCACTACTAATTTCCAGTAACAATCTTCCACTATTGCTTTCCAGTTACATGAATGAATTGAAGAATACAGAGAAAGAGAGATTCTGGTTTATTTTTATTAACATTAATAGAGTAAGGAGAGTCAGAAAATTAAGATGCTTTAAGTTATTAGTACATTTTAATTCTCTGATGGTGGGCTAACTTATTCAGAAATCTTCATTAATCTGTTTAATCTCTGGGTATCAACACTTATTTGATCAGTATTGATCTGGTGAGAATCTCTGTCTCCAGCCACCTTGCAAATGCATCGATGGGTCTCTCCCCAGCTATACTTTCTCACACCAGCTTGGGTTCAGGACAGTGGCTGCAGGGGCTGCTCTATGTGAGGACACAGGTCAGGGGGACACGCATGAGCAGTCGGATTCCTTTACTTTTCCACACTGCTTTCCTAATAGGGTTAACCCCAGATTTTATAATTTATTTGATGTTTCTTAAGAACTTCAGCAAGGTAGACTGGATTCGAGCAGCAGCTGGTTCTAGCTTGTGTGTCAAATATTATTTGAAGCTTTTCACATCTTTCTCCTCTGCAAATTCTTTTTCAGCCTGAAGCACAGAACTTCCCCGTATTGAACAGCCAGCATTTGAATAATCCAGTCCACTTTGAAGGGGAGGTTGATGAGTATGCTTATATACCTCAGTGGAGGCATGGATGGCAGTGGTCAGCTGAGTGAGCCTTCAAGCTAAGGTCTTAAAACAGCATTATTTTTAACCCATGTAGTACCTGAGAGTACGTGTTACATTGAATGCTCAGATTCTCTACAGTAGATTTAGGCACGGCCCTGGATTTATCACCTCTGCTGCTCTCACGTTTAGTCTCTAATTATTGTTTGATGTCCCTTTTTTTTTCAGGTGAACTTCTTTCTCAATCTGCTTTTAAAGATATTTTTGAAAAAGGATTAAAAAACAGAGGTATAATTCATGCCCTACAACAAAGCCCAAAACTTAAAAAGGAAAATATGCCTTCTGAAGATTCAGTTGAAAAAAAAATGGTGCAGTCAAGAACTTATGCCAACGCCAGCCTCTATCCAGCCTAGATGAAAATGACTGGGTTGCCGATCTGATAGGAAACATGAAAGAGACGCTGACCTTTATGACTGCTCAGCCTTTGAACTGCTTTTTTTCCACTGTGCTTGTGAAGCAGCAACCTGCCTCATGCACAGCAGCGACAAGTGACCTTCTGGCCAGGACGGATGCCAGCAATCTTTGAGTCTCATTCAGAGAAGCCCTCACAAAGAAATTACACATGGAACTATCTTAAGCGCAATTAATATAATCACAACTCATGAGGCAGTGAGGATTCCCCTGTAGTGCAGTCCTCTCTTCCACTAGCAATGGTGCCATGCTTCTTCTCCAGGTCGATTTCCAGGCCTCCAAGAGGAGCCTGGTGAGAATGACTGAATTTATTAACATATAATGCCGGATCACTTTGTAAAATAATCCTCAGAATTCATTGGGGATTGGTAGGAGTCCATGGAGTGTGTACCTCTTCACTGATGCCTGGGGTCTCTGTCATGCTCATTGAATAATTGTTTCTCACAATCAAAACTATTGAAATGACCACAGACTGTGACACACAAAAGATTCTTCTCCGGTAAATACTTCTTCCATTGAGGTTAATGTGCCGGTGAAACTGGAAAACTGTGTCATTATCCTTGCGTTAATAATAATATAACTAACAATAACACCAGCCAATGTACTCTAAAACTTTGACTATGCAAACTCTGGTTAATACTGTACACTTAGCCCCCAAAGTTACAACTTCAAATAAAAACATAGAAGTAGCTTTATCATGAAAAAGACAGTTAGAGATATAATCTCCAAAGACACAGATCAAAAGAAGGCTCCAAATGAATGTCTGAGTCTCCTAGTTTCAGTTTCTCTGCTGGTGCAAAATATTTTAGCCATCTTTGTACTCCTCAGCTGAGACAATCACATCAACTGAAGTATAAGCAGACTTTACCTTCAAAGTCATATTGCCTATATGCTCCTAAACATTGACATACGAAGGGCTGTAGTTCTGCTTTCACACTGGGGAAGAAAGGATTTTATCCCTAAGGCTGCAGTTTCAGTGCATACCTCATGTTTTTCCTGCCACTTTCATCCGTTTACTTATGCCTGCTACAATAGCCACAAAAATTAAATGTAAACAACTAAAGTATGGGAGGAAAATCAGATATTTCCCTTGGATTTTAAATTAATTTAGCTCCATAGGTCTCACTCTCTGTTTTCGTTGGGGTTTTTTAAGGAGATAATTTTATGCTGTGTGTAGAAGCTAGTGCTGTAGGCAGACCTAGCTTGCTTTCCTCTTTAATGATTGCTTTGTGTTAATGCCTTTCTCCCTTTCCTTACATAAGCTACTAAAGCTTATATAGATGGCCCATACAACAGCCCTTATTGTACATTTGGTAGAGATGGGCTGCAAAGAAAGAGACAGGCTTTTCAAAGCCAGCAGATACCACCTTCTGCAGTGTCTTTACAAGTGGTAGATCTTAATTTCAGTTAATATAATTTGTACCC